CATGTTGTCCAAATGAATAAAGCTACCAGTGTAAATTTTCTTTGGGGTGTAGCTGGTCTTTTCCTTTGGATTTGTGCAGTCTCTGGGGCATAGGACAAGCCCCTGCTGGGGTTTAACACTTGATCTTCTATAAGGGTGACCCAATTCAGAACTTGGGAGCAGCGTATCCTATACCTTTGCCAATGTAACAATACATAGTCTCCCTTAATGTGGAGAGGGTCACACCTATGTCATATTCATCCACTAATGTTTCACAAGCATTATAAGACACAAACTTCCATTCATACTGAATTTTAAGAGCACCGCTAAGAACTGTGTGAATTAAAGAGACATTTGTATCAAGTAAATGGAAGAAAATGCTCAATTGCACGCACACTGAATGTATCTGATGTCCCAGATAAATCCAACTATTCACTATAAACGTCATCAGTTAAAATATTTAGGAAGCATGTGACAAAAAAGTATTCTTTATCAGTCATGAGAAATGTGGGAAACATAAAATATAATGTGAAACATGAAATGTGTTATCTGTGTTATTTTTTATCAGCAAATAATAATGTAACAATTTCCAATAAGGTTTTTTATATATAAAAAGATATAAAAAGTGCCTCAGGTTGTGTCTGAGTTATCTGAAATGTGCTGCAATTTGTGTGATGATGCAACAGTGATAAACTGTCCACAGCACAAGGAACTCTGGCCATACATCGTTGTTGAAGCTGCACCACCTTCACCCATTTCCTTGTCTCATGTTGATTTTTCATTACGCCCAAACCAAATACTACATGTCCAGCACCAGGGAAGCAGCAACTGACAGATTGTAGTTCTTTTAATTTTCAACTTCTCATGAAGTCCGCACCTTCCCTCCTAGTACACTCTCTGCCTTGCTCCTGGCCCACTCTCTGCCTCCATCCTAGTCTGCTTCCTACCTCCCTCCTGGTCCTCTACCTGCCAGCCTCCTGGCCCATTCCATACATCCCTCAGGGACCACTACTCTCTGCATCCCTTCTAGTCCTTTCTCTTTCTTGTCCCTCTCCTTCCCTCCTGGCCCACACCTTGTCTCCCTCTTGGTCGTCTCACTGTGTCCTTCCTGTCACAATCTGTCCCACCTAGTACTCTCCCCTGCCTCTCTCCTGGTCATCTCTATTTAAACCTCCTGATCTTCTCTGTCTGTATTTTCTGCCCCTCTGCCTCACTCCTGGCCCATACCCTGCCTCTTTCTTGGTCACTCTGTTCTACTCCCTCCCACCTAGAACTCTCCCTCCTGGTCCACTACTTCTGCACCTCCAGGCCTTCTCCATACCTTCCTCCAGACTCAGGTAGATGAAAACCTACAATTTTGCACTCCATTTCTCCCACACTAAACATTCTCTGCTCATGAAATCAACATATTTTATTTGCAGTGTAATTAGTAATACTGAGCTGGGAGCCATATTTTTCCAGATGACAGGAAAGGAAACGATTAGTTCAGTAGAAAATGTATAGTAATCACCAGACTTTTGAAGAGGACATTGAAATGAACAAACCATCCATGATATACACATTTTCCAATTAAGAAGCAGCGGAAAAGGCATTCTGTAAAATCTGAGAGTGTCCAGTGCTTAGTTTATAGCGGCATTTTACAATCAGTTGCCACAGCTTTTCAAAGACCTTTCTCAGAAAACAGCTTGTAATCAAGAGTCTTCTGGTTATTTTTTTTAATCTAAAGCCTTCTAAGAGTGCAAGTATATCAGACGAAAGTGCAGAAAATCAGGTTTCTTTGCTGTAAAGAAGAAAAAGAAATAGGAAACTGGAAAACTCAAATTTTCAGATCTTGCAAACGTCAAACTTTACATGTGAAAACTATCCTAAGATCTCAAAACTTCCAGGTAGGAAAGTTAGGAAACACCTTTACTTCTTCTAGAGTCATTTACTTCAACCTAGAAATACATAGAACTTCTTCTGGAGAAGAAAATATAAAACAGTTCTTCTAGAGACATCAACTCCTAATTGCCAGTCTGAGAACTCAAAGCTCCGAAGTCAAAGTCTGTGTCTAAAGAATAATGGAAGGGGTAAAGAACTTTTATTCTAAAGGTATGAAGACTAGAGGGGGCATGGGAAATGTGAGAAACTCACTGGCAGAGTTTGAAAAAAAAGGTTCTTTGGAAAAGATCAATTCACCAGTGGATCACACTTACAAAAAATAAACAAATTGATGCATTAGTTGGCAATTCAGCAATTACTAGATATAGTAGAATATATAGAATATAGTAAAAAAAGAAGTTTTCACCGCAGCAAAAACCAGGTACAGATCAATATATCCATGGGAGGGAAATCTGGAGAGTGATGTACACAAATGTTAGAAATATGCCATAGTGTGAACCTGATTTCACTTCTCTAAAATGCAGCAAGGACAAACTGACATATCTCTGCCCAGATATTATCATAAATATTTATATTGCACCGACACATATGATACAGCTCTAAAGCTCTGACATATTCAGCAGTGCTTTACTTAAAACATCGAGCCATTCAGCATTAGCCTTTGACACAGAGGAGCTCTTACTTTAAAGTCATTACCACACCCACATGATGAGAACCTAAAAGCACCATGCAAATATAGCCTTGGTGCAAACTGAATCTAGGATCTTAGTGCTAACAACCGAGTTCCCCTGCTTGTCAATCATTCTGATGGGTTTGATAATAGCCGTTACAATCTAGATGCAATCATGTAATTGTAGATAAGATTTTTACACTGTAGGAAAAGAAAATGCCCTTACCCTCCTAGCAACCAATCATATTCTAGCTGTCATTTTTTTCCCATACAAATTAGACAATAAAAGGAAACATCCTGATTGGTTGTTACAGACAATGCATGCATATTAAGGCCTAGTCTGTAAAGAAAATTAAAATTAGAGAGCAATGATCCTGATCAATGCAGTCACGCATGGCAACAACATTTCACATCCTGCAATCATAGATGTGGAGCGTAAACTCTAATTGGTCACTGAAGGTTACAGTCCTGAATACATTTGCTTTCTCCAGACATTCACGTAAGAACTAAATCTAAAGACTGTATTTGAATATCCTTACACATGTCATTTCACAGTACATTTTAAAGCAGCAATCTATCAGAGGTGCAGAGTGATTTGCCATGTACATTATACAATGTGTGCTCCGAATAAAGTCCCAGAGTTATAATAAAATCACAGAAAAGAAGATTATCCTGACAAGATCTGGAAGAACCGAGTGTGAGCTCTGACAAGCCCTTATCTCATCAAACTATAATCGTATTACTTCAGCTAAAACTTCAGTAAAGAATCTCTCATCCTAGACCGCCCGCTGCAAGGCCTTCTGGGAATACTGCCTCCTGGCTTGTTTGTTACCATGACAGGGCACCCGGTTTACCGAGCATCTGTGACAAATCAGCAGAAGAATCCTTCATGGGAGAGCAAGCTCCGACTTCTGTCACACTTCCTGCGAGAACCAAACTTAATTACATGGGAAGCTTTAAATATGTTAAACCAAACTTTATCTTACTTACTGTTCCAGAATATATGCAGCTTGGTGATAATCTTCCTATCGCTTTAAAACGCTTCATAAAATTTGAAATCAATTCAGCAAAAAGCCAGAAAGTGTTTAAAAATACAGATGAAGCTGCAGCAATTGATGTATCTGGGGACCCGAAAACAACGACTAACATTAGGGGGTACAGAGCACTGATACTTGTGGGTTCATAACAATGACAAACTGCTACTTGGGAGCTCCTGAAAAAGAAAACTCTGATGCTTGGGGCTTCAAAAGAATAAAAACACTGGTACTTGGGTTCCTAAAAGAAGAACACTGACATTTAGAGGTACCAGAACAATGACAGACTGACACTTAGGGTTCCAAAAGAATAACACACTGACATTTAGAGGTACCAGAACAATGAAACACAAATACTTTGGGTTCAAGAAGAATAACACCCTGACATTTGAGGATACAGAAGAATAATACACCGACACTTGTGGACCCCAGAACAATGAAACACTGACACGTGGGGTCCCAGAGGAATAAACACTGAGACTTAGAGATGCCAGAACAATGACACACTGACACTAGGGATACCAGAACCAGAATTCTATATGGCACAGACACTTGGAGTGCCAGAACGTTAACACTAGACACTGGAGACCCAGAACACTGGCACACACTGTGACCCACAGTCACAATAAGAACATGGTTGTGTAGCTGCATTGTAAAACATAATTGTCCACCATATAAATTGTTATTCTCACATTAATATATGCTCCTGTTGTGACTAAAGGTGATAGTATGTCAGTGTTCTGGGTCTCCAATGTCAGTGTTCTGGGTCTCCAATGTCTGTGTTATTGTTCTGGTACTCCAAGTCTACATTTAGCTGAATATACGCGTTTTTGTGAGAGGAACAACTTGTATGGTAGACAATTAAGCTATATGAAACAGAGACATAATTGTCTACCATGTGAATTGTTTTTCTCACATGAAAATGCACAGTTAGCAAAACGTAGATAACAGCAGAACTGGATCTACTCGCTAGGTGTCCTTATGATGTGGCACAATACTGAAGTGTATATCTTGCATGTTGTATATCATAAAAAAAGAAAAAATCAGTGTCATACCATCTGGCCACTGACATCTTACCACAGTAACCTCTAAAACGTAGAGGCCAGCTAGAACTCTGCTAATGAAGAAATGTATTTAGTCTCTAACATTTTTAGGTAATACATCCAGTCAAATAGCAATATAAGCAGGTGAAAATATAAATATTTGACCTGTAAGGCGATGCACATCCTATTTTGATTCCACAACCACTGCTGTGCTACATGGAGGGTGGCAACACTTCACACCCTGTCATTCTGCACACTCCGTGCCACCACAATGAAGTCCCCTCCTCTTATGAGTGCACCACAGCTGCCATTCACACCACAAGCATGATAATCACAGCAGCTATAACATGTAATAAAATATATCATATATTATCAAGCTCCATTAACACTCACTGGCTCCTCTTCTGCCGTGGGTCCAACAGACGCAGTGTGTCCCTGATTACCGCAGTTTTCACCTCCTCATCCACCAAGCTCGGCACATTCTCGAAGATGCCGGGAAGAAGCTGCAACACCCAGACAAAAGGCATTATGTTATAGAAAATGCTGTAAATACATCGCTCACAGATTAGCATATTTAATTAGAAGCAATTTATTAACACCAACGTCAGTGTTTGGTTGCGTTATTCAAACAGGCCCACAAGCTATTTTTCAGATAAATCACAGTTATTAATATTACAGTTTTAATGATGTTAAGGAATATCTAAGTGTTTCCACTTGAGAAACTTCTTGAGAAACCGCAAATGAATGTAAATAAACACAGATAATTAGTAGGCAGTTGTTCAATGCGGGTTTACCTGAAAAGAAAAAGCAGCAATAGTTTCTCTTTAATTGATAATGGTGAAAACTACAGACTTTGTCACATAACAATTTTAAAGCTGCATTCCAGGCATAAAAATAGCAATTTAATCCAGTTACCCAATAAGAAAGAAGTGTATTTTCACATACAGTTGGTATTAATATTTGAGGCTGTCTTTATAATATGACGGCAAAAAAACAAGTGTTCCATTGAGTCACCTTTTTGAAAGCTTTTTTCCCCCCTTTTTGTCTGAGCATAGATCTATGTTTCTCGCAAGCATGTTTCAATTCTGTTACTGTTAGCAGGATCACTACCTCTGCTGGAAGTCTGTTCCATGTCAGTTGATTAGGAATTAATTTCTGTGTATCTGTGCTATTCCACCAACAACAAGCACTGTGAGGGTGATTTATCAAAGCTGGAGCAGTTGCTCGGGGCTAAGAGAGACAAAATCTGGAGCAGTTGCTCAGTGCAACCAATCAGCTTCTCTCTTTTTTTCAGTTAAGATTACAAAATGAAAGAAAGAAGCTGATTGGTTGCCTTGCACAGCTGCTTCAGATTTTGTCTGCTCCAGTTTTGACCTCTATGTGGGTAAAGGTTTGTGGACATCTGACCATCCCATCTACAGTATATGAGCTTTGTTGACATCCAATTTGAAAACCATGAGTGTTAATATGAAGATAGCCCCCACTTTGCAGCTATACCAACCTACACTCTGGGAAGGCTTTCCATAACATTATGGAGTGTGTATGTGGGAATTTGTGCCCATTCAGCCAAAATAGCATTTGGGAGGTCAGAAACCTATATGAGACAAGAAGACCTAATGTTTCAATTCATTATGAAAGTGTTCAGTAGGGTTGATGTCAGGGCTCTGTGCAGGTCACTTGAGTTCCTGTAGATCAAACTAGTCAAACAATGTTTTTATGGTCCTGGCTTGAAGCATCTGAACACAGTCAATTGTTTGGGTGTCCACATGCATTGGGCCATATAGTATGGACTACATCACACTAGTCATCAATCAGCTTCCCACCTCTTGTTCATGTTCAATCTTCATGCTGGGATTTGCGTTCACCTCTAGAAGAATTGGCTTTAGGTTCTTCATCAGAAGGATGTCAAATCCTAAAATCTGTGGGAAGGGTGGAAAGAGGCATAATCACACATTAGAAATAATAGCCGGGCAGATGTATGAAGGACAGCGTCTGAATTTACTCCACATGCATCCTGTAACAGTGAACATTTAGTGAACAGAAAGTGGGACTTATCGGGAAAAACAGGGCATTGTAACACAGAGGTTCAGAAGATGTATGAATATGCCTTATTAGTAAAGTTCTATAACCGGAACAGACTTGGAGTGGTAGATGTCCCCAACCAGCTAAAACACACCTATGATCGTCGGTCGTATGATGTGTGTGCTCAAGGAATAGCAACTGACCTGGAAGCATGTTGGTCCTGGTTTAGATGCAGGTATGTCGACCTGGAAATAGACTTTGAGTTCAGGCACCAGAGCCATGATGGTCTTAATGACCAGAGAAATTATATCAGACCACACTTTCTTGACATCCACACCTTTAGCAGAGAGTCTATAGAGAATGCTCGAGAAGGTCCTCTTGCTCCCAGTGTGGACACTGTCCGAATGGATGAAGTTTGCACTGTGGATGTTGAGTGAGTAGTTGGTCAGATGCATATAGACACGGTGAAGATTTTTGTGGTTGGGCTCCTGGTAGGACTCGGTGCAGAACCGAGACAGTCCATCTTTGGCAATGTAGATTTCCAGTGGCTCTAATGATTTGAGGAGGACATAGAGCCTCATATCAAACTTCAACTTGTCTATCAGGAGAGGCTTGCTGATATACTCTTGGACCACAGATGGCCGGTTCTGGACACTGCCCATGATCCGAACTTCGCTAGGGTCCTTAATGAGGTAGATTCCATCTCCCTGACACCCACCATCTGGCTTCACAATGAAGGTGGGCTTCCATGATGGGTCACTTTCCTTTGCCATGCGGACCTGCAATAAAAACACTGATTAGTACAAGTAGAACTTGAATATTGAATACAGTACAGAAGACTGAATATACTTATTGACATTCTGTTTTAGAAAATAATTAATTAAAAAAGGTTTACGGATGATGGTAGGTCATCTAGATATACCCATAGATGTATTGACATTTGTTGATTTTTGTAATGGTTTCTCTTGCTCTTTATTAATAAAATATTTTAAAAAAAGGTTTACAAACTGCTTATAGTAGTCGGAAGGGTTATTTATAGACCATCTGTGGTGTAAACTGCTCAATGTGCACACCAAACTCACATTTCCAGAAGTAACTGCATGTGAAAACTTAAAGAAACCAAAAAAAATTGCAAAAGAAAAATGAAACCTAAATCATGATGCTGGTTCCTTGTATACAGGGCCACCTTCTGTTAAGCTGGCCATACACTATAATGTTTTCGTTGTTCAACCTGCAGGCTATACAAAGAAAATATAGGATTCTTCCATCAATGTGTAAGAGGGTTGATCAAGGAATCTCCCACTGTTTGCACTGTATGCTGACGGCAGCCGCCAGCTGCTGTCAGAACACCCAAACGGAGCCGGCAGCTCATTGGAAGATTTTCCGACCGGCTCCCTCAATCAGCTGATCAAGGGAAGCCGACAGCACCCATCAAGGATCGGCTGAAATTCATATAGTGCATGGCCAGCGTTAGAGTGGTTTCCATCACCAAAAGATGCTGACCTATGCACCCTTTGAAACTGCAAAAAAATCCTCACTTTGCTCCTCTGCTCTTTTACAAAAACCTTCATCACACCAGAAAATGTCCTCACGCCATTTCGCCAAAGAATTCCACATTGCGGCTCTGCAGAAAGCAGGTAGGCCAGGGAAGGGGAGCACCTCCCTCCTGGCTGCTTGCTTCAGTTAGTGGTGTGCCCAGCTGTATTCTACAAAACATACACGATTGTACAACAGATGTTTCCAGTATTGGGTTGGCCAAAAAGAAGGGTTTCGCGGGCATGCTGTCAGTATAAGCTCTGCGGGAGAGCTTCATAAATAAATCTAAGGACACTACTGGGGATGATGTGAAATTTTTAGCATTCATAATAGGAAGATTAAGCTACAGAGATGCTAGTTGTCTCAAGTTAGTTGCTAGGTTAGTGTCACAGACCCTAAACGGGGATCAGTTCTGACTTCACAAGCTGCAGGGACGTGGTGGTCACTGGTTTAGACAGCGTAGTACAGTCATTGGCGTTATTTTTAAAATATCTTGGAGTTTTATCTCAAATGGTGTGGTTGCCCATAGCAGCAAATTAGCTGTTATCTTTCATTTTGTTTACACAGTGTAGAAAATTAAAATTTAAAAGATGATTGGCGGCGCTCCATTTGAGACAAAGGGGCTGATTTATAATGTGTTTGCTCAGCATATAACTGTGCGAACGACATTTGCCCCATATTACTCACACTAGAACGAGTCGAGAAGCATAGGAGATTCCAATGGCACAGTCACTGGAGATGAAAACAAAGCACAAGGGTGGATATGACAGTCGCTGTCATGACTCCGTTATCCAATTAGAACCTTCTCAAACTCTCCAAGGAAGCAATCTCTTAAGAACTCCATTCCCCGGATTCCAATCTGCTAAAGACAGACAATGATGCTGCCATTGTACATTTACTGGCTGATAAGTGGACAATTCAGCTTTTTATGCAGAATTATCCCAATTCAGAGTGAATAGAGAGATCAGTGATGACTCAGAGAGGTCAGACACATCTCATCTCCAGAAATGTAAGTGAGATTCTTACACATGCACCTTGTGAAGCCTTTTCGATTGCAGCTTCTTTCTCACCGCGCGAGCCATCTCCAAATGTGAACCAGACAACTGTTCATCATCTGCCTTATAAAGCTCTGGAGCTCCCCCTACAGCTCTGTCTAAAAATCTCCCATTTCACTATCCTAACACCAAGACGGAACACATATTTCCATAAATCTCCATCACCTATTTTCCAGCAGTACATGATTCCTCAAACTACACACACTAGTAAAATGCTTGTAATCTCCTGGGTAACAAATTCCCCATACACTTCACTTCTGCCAGACCTACTCAATAAAGGCAAAGTGTAGAGTGCACCATACAATCAGCAGGCCTTCACCACCCTGAACTCTGGACGGATAAATAGTAAAATCCTTTTGGGTTCCTGCTCTCTCCTGGACCTGTTAACCACTTTGGCCGATCTGGTTGTGGTTAAAGTGTAGCAAAACCCCAAAATTCTACATATTGCAGCTTACCAGTCCTTCGATGTGGTAGCTGCATTAGCTTTCTTTCTTTCAGGCTTTTTTTCTTTATTTTCCCCTGCTGATCCTGCAAGTAACAAACCTCTTGTCCTAAATGTGTTGACATTCACTCATTGTACTGTATTAGGGATGTCCCGATACCGATGCTAGCATCGGAATCGGGCCCGATACAGGGCATTTTGACAAGTACTTGTACTTGTCAAAATGACCCGATGCCTAGCGCCGAAGCTTGCGCTATGGGTTTTTTTCTCTTACTTACCTCGCCGAACGTTGCGTCATTGCTGCTCCGGTGGGCGGAGCTCCAGGTGGGGGTCCTACCTTTAGGTGGCCGGAGACTGCCAGATGACCCTGCTCGGAGCACCGCCCACCGGAGCAGCAGTGACGTGACGCTCGGCGAGGTAAGTAAGAAAAAAAAAACCCCCAGCGGCCAGTCAGGAGCAGGGACGAGTCAGCGGCAGCGCTGGTCCGGCGAGAGGAGCTCCAGGTGGGGTTCTAATTTAGCTGGCAGGCACCTCTAAGCCAGCTAAATTAGGACCCACCTGGAGCTCCTCCCACTGGACCAGCGCTGCCGCTGACTTGTCCCTGCTCTCTCAGGCACAGTGAGTGAGGGCAGATTTGGAGGGGGAGGAGCGGGGGGTGGTTCTATTATATATATTGCCTGCACTGTATTAGCAGTATATACTGTAGTACATGAGGGGATGTAATTGTACTTGGGCCTGAAAAAGTGGCATCGGGACATCCCTATACTGTATCTATGGAAGAGTAGAGCGGTGTGGTCTCCCGATATGGACTACAGAACACATCCCCTCTCCTAATCTCCAGAATATATGGACAATATGTTTTGTAGTGTACAGTTGTGAACTAGACAGGGTTGGTAACACTGTTTGAGATTTCAACTCAGAGGCAGTGACCTAAAAAAATTACATACTCACTAGATTTCTTGCAGAATCAACAGGTATTTTCTGCACTTTTCAAACGGATAGAAAAACCCTTTCAGAAGGTATTTGTAGCAGGTCAAAAGGGAGTAAATAAGAGAAGTTAATTTGTAAGGTTTATATATACTTTAACCTTTTTTAACAAGAACAGGAAGTGTTTCAGTGATCACGTATGCATTACTGCCTTTGTATAAGGCATGCATGATCACATGCAACATTCCTGGGAGTTCACAGGGTGATCAGGCACTACATTTCACTGGTACAGTAGATTCTGGTTTAACCAGCTGATGGGGCAGCGGATCCCGGGATTCAAGGTGAGGGGTCAGGGGGGAAAAAAAAAAACCCGGCGGCCGCGCGGGGTGCTTATGAAACGAGCACATATAGACGATCGGCGGGCTATGGAGCTGCTGATCGCCTATATGTGAAACACCCGGTAACGGGTCTTTTCTGCCCGTGCGTACCCGCTCGGGGGCGCGCGCAAACAGAAAAAAAATGCTGCCTGGCGATGGCAACCCGCCAATGCTGCAGTGCCGTCCGTCCGTTTTTTTACAACGGGCGGACGGCAAGTGGTTAAAGGACGCAGGAGTAGCAAGCAAGCAAGCAAGCAAAAAAAGGGTTACATAGGGTGTGTTAGTTTGAGCAGGGCTTAGCCTACCGCTCTCAGTGCTGAGGGCTTCTGGATGAAAACTACCAGTGCCAAGGTTCCTGCTTTGAACAATAAGGCCTCATGCACACAGCAATGAAAATACTTGAGTCTACGTGCATTTGGAGCTAATTTCTAAAGGCACTTGGAAGCATGTACTGCTGTGCTATGTCTGAAGTTACACCCAGACGTTTAGCAGCATCTAGGTGCATTCAGTCAAGCTACGTTTACACAAATAAGATATTTCAACATCCCGGGAACGTTTAGCTTTTTTTTTACAGCTAAACGTGCCTAAACATGACTAAACCCAGGAACATCTAAACCCAGGAAAAAGTGATCTGGGAACATTAAAGTTGTTTTTACTTGCCAAATAACTTCTCCTGTGTTTAACTCAGATGGCCCGAGTGCATAAGGCCTAAAGCCACGTTCACACACTTGAACATTTGGGATTCCTGCAGCAGTTAATGATCAGGTGACAGCGACGTATCTGTAAGCGGCAGTCCACATGTAATCGTATATGATAAGATCACATGCACTTTGGAACAGATAATTGTCTCTGGATGTAGGATAGATGTGTCCAGTGATGAGGTGTAACATATCGCAGTTTACATCAATTATACTAGTCAACTTTTCAATGTACAACTAAGTTAAAAAGATGGCTGCCACTTTTACAAACTGGAGGAAATAGCTGTGCTGCTCAGAGCTATTTAAAGCGGACCATTACCCATATCTTTAAAATAACAACTAACACACCTTTAGAAATGTTTAGTAATGACAATCTACAAACACATACTTCTCGATAATTGCTGGCTTTGTATTCTTTGCATACCCTATTTCTCTTTTCTTCCCCAGTCTTCTGGCAGTGGCCATGTTTACTAAGGGCAGATTACTAGCTCTCCTTTTACTTCCTGGATTTCTGGCACGTGTGACTAGACACGTGACTAGGACATGTGACCATGCACATCATTTCAGGGGAGGAAAATGACTTTCCCCGAGATGAGATTTCCCAGCAATGCTCTGCTGATGACAAAGCAATCCCAGTATGCATTACTTTGGCAAACTGAAGTCATTTTGCCCTTTCAAAGCAGGAAGTGAATGCTCTGCAAGTGTAAGTACTTCACAATCACAGCATTTTACACATGACATGTC